CGTGGATGCCTGCAACCACATCGCCAACGCCACGCGGGAGCAGAACGACTTCAGCAGTGTGAGTTGGGGTCGGGGCGGGGGGGAGAGGGACCCGCATGGGGGGCAGCAGGGGCAGCCCTCACTACTCCCCTCCTCATGCCACCGGCAGGAGAGCGAAGAGTGGATCCTGGTGGGACGGGTGATCGACCGTGTCTGCTTCTTAATCATGGCCTCCCTCTTCGTGTGCGGCACCGTCGGCATCTTCCTCATGGCTCACTTCAACCAGGCGCCTGCCCTGCCCTTCCCTGGGGACCCCAAGCAGTACCTGCCGCAGTGATACCTGCAGGCGCCCGCCCTCACCAGAGCCAGGGGCTGGGTGCCCCCAAACCAGCCTGCCTGGCCGAGATCCCTGCAGGCACAGCAGCTGCTGGTGCCAAGCACAGCGATGGAGGAGGACTGGGGGTGGTGGGGCTCTGCCACCCCTCAGCAGTGGTGGTGATGGGGAAGGGAGGAACACAGGGTGGCCATACTGTGTTGAACATGGAAGTAAAGCCTGTAGCAGTCTTGCAAACCTCCATGGCATCATTGCTCCATGCCCACTGGTGGGGTTACCCCTCTCGGACAGGCTGGATGTGTCAGACTGCCACAGACCTCTAAGCCACACAGTCCTGCCCCAGCACCCCACAAGGGTGCTGAGTGATGAGACAAGGGAGAACTAGAGCAGAGTCAGGTATCTGATGGGCCATGCACCAGCACTGGCAGTAAGAGCCACGTTACTCCACTGCAAATTCACAGCTTCAAGCCCAGGGCAAATGGGGCCCCTGGTATCCCTTGCTGTGGCAACGGGAATCATGGATACAGCCACACATCCCAGGGCACGGAGCCATGGATGAGATCAGGTAATTCCTCCCTCCATTTATGCCTCAGCCATGGCTTTTAGGGGCAGCTGAATTGCTGTCCATGCTCCCTGGCAAGAAGATTGGAGTGGGAAGACCGTGGTCCACCAGGCTCCGAAACCCCCTCAGGGATAGGTGCCTCTTGACACCCACCCTGCTATGAGCAGCATTACATGACTCCCTCCCCCGCCGGCCCTCCTTGCCCCATGGGATCATCTCTGTCAAGCACAGCCCCTTCCCCCCATCCCAGCCATGCCGCGTCCCCTCCGTGCCCTTCACTGACCTCTGGGGCCCCTGTGGCTTTGTCCTTGCTGGCGGGGGAGATGCAGGAGGTCAGCCTGGGAACAGTGGCGGGCTGCATCTGCTTCTCTGTGGTCCAGCTCACGCCAGTTGCGCTTGGCTCCAGGACATGCCATGTCTCCATCAGCCTCGCTGTCTCAGCACCGGCTGCCTCTGCTGCTGCTGGGAGAAAACCAGCTGGTTACTACCCACAACTGGCTCCTGGCACTGCCTGCCAGAGGTGCGAGGACACTGCGGGCATGTATGGAGGAAGGAAGAAAACATCTGGCAGCTGAGACATCACCACCTGGGTACCTGCAGCCTGGTCATGGTCCAGAGCCACCCTCCATCAGTGCCAGGCTGCCCATGCTCTCTGCAAGGTGGCTTTTCCTGCCTCATCCCCAGGAGGTGTGTGATGCCCACAGCACTGAGACCAGGTGGATCCGACGCTCCAGGCTAGCGCCTTCAAGCAGGTACAGATGGTGCCCACCAGTGCAGGCAGGGGTGCCCAGAGGAGCTCACCAAGCACCCAGAACCCTGTCTGGGTCACCTCCCATGGGGGCAGCCCTGTGGCTGTGATCTGGGTGAGGTGACCTGGGGCATCGTACTCCTCCCGGCCACAGCTTTCTTGCTGGTCAGTGACAGCACTGCACAGCACTCCTGTGCCCTCACAGCCACCCCACGGTGATGTCCTCTCCCCAGCCCCACCATGGCTGAAGAGACAGGCTGTCCCTAGCCCTGCGAGAGCCAGGAGCTGCCGTAAGCTGCCCAAACCATAGCACCAGGAACGTCCCCAGTCCCTGGGCTTTCCCTCCCCAAGAAGATGCAGAATTGATGAGCTCTGGTCAGTCTTTGCCTGGCCATTTCCCATTGATGCCCGAGTCCCCATTGCCCTGCTGCCAGGGGCTCTGAACAGGGCCAGGTACTATGAACCACTTCTCCCCACTCCATAGAGCTGCTGCTTCTTCCAGGTGAGCTCAGTGCCCGGCATGTCCAATCAGCACAATCGGAAAGGGACGAGCGCTTCCAGCCTGCCAGAACACAACCGAGACCACATTCTCCACCATCCCCAGGCAGTGGTTTTACCTGCCCTCCGGAGGTCCCAGGGGTTTATCACCGCACCAGAGACAAGGACGAAAACAAAAGCAGTAGCCAGGACGCCATGGGTCTTGGGCAGCAGATGTATTTTGCAGGATCCGGTGGGGGAACACCTTGCAGGTCACTCTATCCAGAGGTAGCAGGGTGCTGGGGAGAGCGCAGTGAGAGAGGAAAAGCCCCCCCAGCCAGCGTTAGCCCCACACGCCCACACTCCATCAAGAAGCACTAAGACAGGGCAACATCATCCTCCAAGCATCCCCCAACTGCTCTCCTCCCAAACCAGGGACTCCTTTCTCTCTGTAGGCTGGGAAGTGGATTCCTCCTTAGTTTCCTTCCTTCCTCCAGTTT